AAGGAATGTTGGGAAACATGAGTAGAGAAAACTTGTAAGCCCACCTTCAGCACATAACTGATTGGAATACCTAAAAGGGATTCTACAAGTTGCCCAGTGACATAGGCCTCACGCAAAGCCTTTATGGAGTATAGGACCTTAGGTGGAATCCTGAGTCCCATCCACAACCTTATGAGGTGAGACATTCCCACTAGAAAGGACAAGCAGACTGGAACAGCTACAGTGACAGATGATGCATCTTCATGATGAACCTGACCTATACGCAGAGTGGTAGTTACTCTAAATACCAACAGAGACGGAAAGAGTCTTCAAATCCAGTTTCAATGCTATCTGCTCTATACACAGGGTAGATAGGGATGGACAACTTAGACATTGGCTACCTAAAATGAGAGGGCAATAAAGGCACAAAGTGGCTGGCATACAAGGTTTCAAGAGGGAGTTTAGCTTAAGTGTATGGGGGGGAAAGAAAGAGTCCCCACTGAATAGCTGTCATCATGTCTAGATGGGTCTGATGAAAAGAGATGGGGATAAGATTCGTTAAGATTCAATAGTGAATAACTGTTATCATGACTAATCGCGACTGTCACAATTGTAAAGGTATAAGTTTAGTAACAAAAAAAGGGGAGTGGTTAATCTTATAGTCCAGAAACAGAGGATCCTAGGACCATCAAGAGAGGAATGCACAAGCAGAGTGCGGGACCTTATGGAGAGAAGCAGAACCAGAGATGGAGGCAGAGATGGAGATAGGGTCATGGAGAGGGGGAGTGGCTGAGGACTCTAGATTCATGGACTAAGAAGAGAAGGACTAAGAGCTGGTGGCCAGGAGCAGATTTGCAGAATGTGCCCTTTGGAAATGTAAATTATTATATATGCTTGAGTGGGTTTTTTTGTTTGTGTGTTTTTTAAAAAGCTTAAGTGGATAGAGAAAAATACTGTTAACTGATGGTACATGGTGGAGGGGATTATAATCAATGTAATGAAACAAAGTATATGATTTCTTGAATGTAAAACTGATGATATGCCCTGTAAACTTTCACTCAATCCACAATAAAAACCTTAAAAAAAAAAAAGGGACATCAACATACAGCCTAAGATTTTGAAACTAGCATGATAGATTAAGTAACTGGATCCTTTCCTCCTCCCAAACTGATTAGGTTCAGAATAGGCAATTTTCTTGCAGACTTCCTACCTGGTCCCGAAGCCACTGCTCTCGTTCAATTCTTTCCTTTCTCCATCTAGCTTCTGTCTCATCAAACTGTTCTTCAATTTGATCATCATCAGAATCTCTATGGAACAAGTCCATCTGGGAAGCATCATCTAAAGCAGAGAGTTAGGCTATCAGCACCCTGCAATCCCTATTACAAGAGGGTACTTGGACAGACACAAAATGAACCCTTCTTATTTCTCATGTAGTGACATCAAATGTTCCAAACAATGGCTACTGTCAGGCCCTCAGATCTAGCCTGTTATAAATTGATTTCCAGTTGCCATCTTAAACTGACCAAACATGCACACATGCACATCAAAACCATTTCCTTCTAAAGGCAATAACCGAGATACCTATGTTTTTCCATCGGAATTTCCTCATTCGTCCAGGACCATCACTGTGCAGATCCCCATCAGCTAAGTACCTCTCTTGGTACAAACGTAGCTGCCGCTTATCATCATCCAGCATGGCTTTCCTGCAACAGGAGAAATGAAATATTCAAAACCAACTACTCTAGCTGGTCATAGGGCTTGCTTTGAAATTCACCCTGTTCCTCCGAAGGCCTTGCTGGTATACTGACATGTGAATTTTCTTTATTTGATTCTGTAGTTCCTCATCAGAAGGAAGCGCTTCATCAATTACATCCTCTTCATATTCATCAATATCTTCCCCATCATACTCGTCTTCACTTCCCACGTCACTCCCTGATACTTCTGCCTCATCTTCCAGGTATTTCTTCAATCTCCTGGAAAGCAATTTGGAAGATAGCAAAAGCACCAATGAATATAAGTACCAACAAGATAGGAAAACAATGAGAAAAGGATAAAGAGCCACCTCTAATAACAATAAGATTATATCCATAATAATACATCTTAATAAGTCTATCATTTAATATGTCACACATGTCAAAAGTGGTGCTTTATAAGCTCCGGAGTGGGAAATATCCTTTAGTGGTGTCAATGGTTAATATTATGCTCAATTGCTAACCAGAAAGTTATCAGTTTGAGGCCTTCCAGAGGCACCTCAGAAATAAAGGCCTGGTGATCTACTTCTGAAAAATAAGCCACTAAAAACGGTACGGAGCACAAGTCTACTCTGACACACATGGGGTTGTCTTCAGTTGGAGTCAACTTAAAAGTAACTTTTTAAAATTTTTTGTGGGGGAGGGTGTTACTGTTCTTTTCATTTTACTGTTAAGGAAACCAAGGTTCAGATTACTTAACAGTAATTTGCTCAGGTTCATACAGCTAGAAGGTACCAGAGCCAGGATCTAACCTACATTCACTGACTCTAAAACAGGAACTCTTAAGTTCCTCTAACAATTGGGACATGTCTACTGGAACATTCAAACTATTTCCTTTTGCATTTAAGCACATCAGCTTTAGGACAGACTAAAGATTATAGTTGTTGTTAGGTTCCATCAGTTCTAACTTAGTGACCCTCCAACAACAGAATGAAACACTGACCAGTTGTCTCCCCTTCACGATTATTGCTACATTTGAGCCCTTTTTTGTAGCTACTATGCCAATCCATTTCATTGAAGTCTTCTCTTTCCCTCTACTTTATCAAGCATGATGTTCTTCTCCATGGACTCTCCTGATAACATGTCCAAAGTATATGAGGCAGTCTTGCCATCCTCACATCCAAGAAGTTTTCTGGATGTATTTCTCCCAAGACAGATTTGTTAATTCTTCTGAAAGTCCATGGTATATTCAATTTGTACTTTCAAAAGCATCAATTCTTCTTCAGTCTTCCTTATTCATTGTCCAACTTTCATACACATATAAGGAGATTAAAAATACCATGACTGGAGTCAGGTGCATTTTAGTTCTTAATGTAACACCTTTGCTCTTTAACACTTTAAAGAAGTCTTTTGCAGTAGATTTGCCTAATGCAGTATGTCATTTGATTTCTTGACTATTGCTTCCATGGGCATTCATTGTGGATCCAAGTAGAATTAGATCCTTGTCAACTTCAATCTTTTCTCTGGCTATCATGCTGCTAAAATCCTCATAAGTGTATGAGGATTTTTATTTTCTCTATGTTGAGGTATAATCCATACTGAAGACTGTAGTCTTTGATCTCTGTCAGTAAGTGCTTCAAGTGCTCCTTGTTTTCAGTGAGCAAAATTGTGTCATCTGCTTATTACATGCTGTTAATAAGTCTTCCTCCAATTCTGATGCCCTATTATTCATATAGTCTAGTGTCTCAGATTATGGAGTTCTGGTGTGGTGCTATGGGTTAATGCGCCAGACTGCAAAGCCGTTAGAACTGCAAGGTTGGTGGTTCAAGCTCAGCAGTCACTCCTCGGAAACCAATACAGAGTTGCTATGGGTTGGAACCGACTCAAAGGCACTTAACAACAAGTGTCTCAGATTATTTGCTCAGCATAAAGACTGACTAATATGGTAAAAGAACAAAATCCTGACATATGCTTTTGCTGAGTTTAAACCATGCAATATCCCCTTTTTCTGGTCAAACAACTGCCTTCTGGTCTATGTTTGGGTTCTACGTGAGCATAATAAAGTGCTCTGGATTTCTCATTTTTCAAGACGTAAAATTTTTCACAGTTTTCGTAGTTTGTTAAGATCCACACAGTTGAATGCCTTTGCAGAGTCAATAAAACACAGGCAAACATCTTTTGGAGACAGCCTAAGTGCCCATCAACTAAAGAATAGATAAACAAATTGTGGTACATACACACAATGGAATACCATGCTACCTTGAAGAATCACAAGGAAGCTGCAAGCCACCACATAACATGGATGAACCTTGAGGACATTACATCGAGTGAAATTAGTCAGTCACAAAATAAGAAATACTGCATAGGACCACTACTGTAAAAGACTAAGAAAAAGAACCCATACTTAAGGGGTGGGGGGTGGGGCTGGGATTCTTTGCTGGTTATCGGGATGTCGGGGGTAGGGTGAGGGGAGGGAAGGAAAGGTGGAGCACAGGGTAGTTTGGGTGCTAGGAAGGGGGGCAATACACAAGAAGGGGGAAGTGAATGGAAGAACAAAGAGGACGGGAAAACAATTAGGCAGGTTTGCATGGGCTAAGTGTTGCTGTTGTTGTTAAGTGTCATCGAGTTGGTTCTGAC